TTTAGTGGCAATGAGTTTGAACATACTAGATTCATTCAACTGTTCTTCTGACTTTTATTCCTCATATTTTTTATAAAATAATATTACTTGCCTTTTTAACTATACAGCTCGTAGGATGCGTTTCAAATTTATCCTGCAGTTAATTTCGACTCTTGCTGGGTTTCCAACTTCAAATTTTGTAGTTTTACTCTTCAATATGGCCCCTTCAACATTTTCCAGTTGTTCTTCGTTTTTCCAGGACCTTTTTTGAGCTTTTAAGTAATTCTGGGCAATTTTCACTTGAGTAGTTGATAACACTTATCTATCAGCATAAAAAAAATGTCAATCTAGGTACTAATATTTATATCTAATCAACCCTCATAAACCTATATATAAAGCACAGTTTATTTTTTGTTCATAAAGTACCTTTCTGTTTTCGTATATAATAATATGTTGAAGATATCGAAACCCTTTTAGTATCGATGTAAAAATACATGATATAGATGAAATAATAAACAAAACTAGAAAATACTTATCAATTTAAAAGAAAACTATATCCACTGTAGTGTCTGATATATAAAAAACTCTAGATAGCGTATAAAAACCATGGAAAAAAAATCACACCTATCCTATCAACACATTTTTAGAAGGTCCTATTCCAAAAATACCCCTATTTGAAGGTATCTAAATTCATAAAAAAATTCCAGAATATACGCAACTTTACCAAAAATTACTTTAGAACAAATTAGTTATTTTGTAAAAAAAAAAATATTCATCCGACAACATATAGGTACATTATATTTTAAAAGTATAACTCTCTAAAATTATTTTCAAATACTCTCAGCATTTAATTTAAATCATTCTACAAAGTCTAATCTAACTGACGACCAACAACGCAATATTTAATATTATTGCCTATACAAATCAAGACCTAAACCTGTCATCGACAATCTCCTAAATTTCATGAAACACATTACGGGTTAGTTCCAAAAGAAAAATTACTCTTTTAAAATTGCATATTTCGGACACAGAAGAAAAATATAATTTATTCTCTTATCAATTAATAAATTATATAAACAGCAAATATCTTTTCGATTTAAATAACTATATTGTAATTCCAAATTTTATAAAAAAATCGAAAGTCTTAACAGAAATTTGAGAGAAGAACGAAACAAAAAAAGTTAAAGAGATGCTAACTAAAAACGAACTAACACATTGTATGAAAATAATTATGAAATTGCGAAATAAATCATCCGTGGTCCATAAAAAAACCGAAGATATAGGTATCAAAAATTAAGAAAGGCAACTCATAAAAGTAGAATTAAAGAATCAAAACGTTTAGAAATAAAATGTATTGCGATTAACACCATTCAAAAATCAGAACTCAAAGACTGACAATTTACCCAATACCTTTTATGATAGAAAAAACTAATACACATTCCTTTTAGAAAATTAAAAATTAAGAAAGGCAACTCATAAAAGTAGAATTAAAGAATCAAAACGTTTAGAAATAAAATGTATTGCGATTAACACCATTCAAAAATCAGAACTCAAAGACTGACAATTTGCCCAATACCTTTTATGATAGAAAAAACTAATACACATTCCTTTTAGAAAATTATTACCTCTAGAATTAGGAAACGTCAAAGGCATTTATAACACAAATAAATACAATTAACATTCTAACCGTAGAAAAAATCATTACCTACAGTAATACAAAGCTATCTCTATTTTTTTATAACTAAATATTTTAAAAAATAGGTTTTTAAACATAATTTTTCGAAATGAAAATTTTATTGGATCCAATAAAACAAAAAAAAATTAAATAATCTCTGGTTAAAAAAATAAAAAACAGCATTATTACAAAAATATCGAGTTTCGATGACCCAGTTAATAATTACTTGTAGGTATTATTAAATAAATTATTAATCTAAATAAAAATATTCTTTTGTTTAGAATTATTAAAATCAACAACAAAACGATATTTAATCCATGCGAAATAATTATACATGACCTAATTATATTTAATAAAATTATATAAGTCGAAACCATATTTTTGTAATATAAATAAATATTAATAAATATCAATTAAATTTAGGAATCTTTTGTCCATACTTGTGTATAAAAATATATGCATTTTGGCGATTGATCAAAAAAATAAAAAAATCTATATTTATTTTTTGAAAACCTCTGTGCTCCCAAAGAGACAAAAACTTTCAATTATATAAAAATATAGTCACTATACTCAATACAAGGAATGAATGGGACAAAAAAATATCAGTAAAATAGATTCTCTAATCTAATACCAAATACAAATAAGAAAATGTGCTAAAAACACAGAATACCGCTAAAAACAAGAACAAGTCAGAATCTTTATTAATACGCTCAGAAAAAATTGTGGTACTTGAGGGTTCTTATGAAGAAGAAAACCTCTGGAATGAAGCTAGGCACCTCCACCATGTCACGTTGTACGTGTTTTTATAAAGAAAATGTTACGATTTACGTGTTTTAAATAATTATGGGACTATCTATGTCCCGGGGGTTAAATAACAAAATATATGAATTTGGGCCTCAATCACAAACACACTATTTAGCCTTAAACTTGGCTTCGTAGCCCTTAACTGTATAAGGGTTCTACTCTTGATGTTAGAACCTGACACGTCTCTGTAAAAGGGCTGAAGGAAACACAATGTTTTCTCAAAACAAATATAATATTAAAATTACAACGATTATACAAAATATGTCTTAACTCGACATACACAAATACGGGCTCAATATAATAATAAGTAATAATAAGTACACAATACATAAAACTTAGACTTACCAACTCATCAATATTTGGGACACACGTCACAACTCTTGCTCGACTATTAAAACGCAATTTTTCAACATACAAAATAGACTTTTAAATTAGACTATGAAGGTCTAAACTGGAGCTGCTACAGGGAATCTCCTACAAGGGGGACCTCCTATGGGGAGGATCCGTTCCCTGTGGAAAAAAGCCTCCTGCATCCCCTCGACATTACCTTTATAACTTTCTCATAGTTTATTGTTATTAAAACTAATGTTTCATAATTAATAAATAACCAACCTTGCACATTATTGCTATTTAAAACAAATTGTTGAAATAATTAAACAAAGTTTTATGTACAGGATGTTATTTAAATAATTAATTAAAATTAGGAAAAATATGAATTTATACGAATCGTGACAGTATAAAAGGAGTGGAGTACGTGTACTGGCCCTGTGTTACTTAGGTCTTTAACTATATTTTCGATATTGTTTTGATGATCGTTATTTCTGAAATTATTTCTGAAAGTGTTCGCCGAAGGCTTGTCCTTTTTGTGTGTCTGTCGTGTAAAGGTCTTGTCTTGATTCAAATATATCTGGATTTAGTCGGTT